TGAAGTTTTGATTTGCATTTCCCTGATAGTTAATGATGTTGAACATCTTTTCACGTGCCTGTTGACCATCTGTATATCTTCTTTGGAGAAATGTCTGTTCAGGTCTTTTGTCCATTTATTAATTGGGTTGTTAGTTTTTTGGTTGTTGAGACGTATGAGTTCTTTATATATTTTGGAGATTAACCCCTTATCAGATGTATGATTTGCAAATATCTTCCCCAATTGTTAGGTTATCTTTTTGTTTTGTTGATGGTTTCATTTGTTGTGCAGAAGCTTTTTAGTTTGATGTAGTCCCATTTGTTTATTTTTTCTATTGTTTCTCTTGACTGGTCAGACATGGTACTTGACAATATGTTGCTAAGACCAATGACAAAGAGTGTACTTCCTATGTTTTCTTCTAGAAGTTCCCTGTTTCAGGTCTTATATTCATCTTTAATCCATTTTGAGTTAATTTTTGTGTATGGTGTAAGATAATGGTCTACTTTCATTTTCTTACATGTGGCTGTCCAGTTTTCCCAACACCATTTGTTGAAGAGACTTTCCTTTCTCCATTGTATGTTCTTGGCTCCTTTGTCAAAAATTAGCTGACCATAGATGTGTGGGATTATCTCTGGGATCTCGAGTCTATTCCATTGATCTGTGTGTCTGTTTTTGTGCAACTACCATGCTGTTTTGGTCACTATAGCTTTGTAGTGTATTTTGAAATCAGGGAGTGTGATACCTCCAGCTTTGTTCTTTTTTCTCAAGATTCCTTTAGCTATTCAGAGTCTTTTGTTGTTCCACATAAATTTTAGGATTCTTTGTTCTATTTCTGTGATAAATGTTGTTGGAGCTTTGATAGGGATTGCATTTATTCCATAGATTGCTCTAGGAAGCATGAACATCTTAACTATGTTAATTCTTCCAATCCAAGAGCACTGAATAGCTTTCCATTTCTTTGTGTCTTCTTCAATTTCTTTCAGCAATGTTTTATAGTATTCAGTGTACAGATCTTTCACCTCTTTGGTTAAGTTTATTCCTAGGTATTTTATTCTTTTTGTTGCAATTGTAAACGGGATTGCATTCTTAATTTCTCTTTCTGCTACTTCGTTGTTATTGTATAGAAATGCAACTGATTTTTGTATGTTGATTTTGTATCCTACAACTTTACCATATTCATTTATAATTTCTAAAAGCTTTTTGGTGGATTCTTCAGGGTTTTCTATATACAAAATCATGTCATCTGCAAATAGTGACCAAATTTTGATCCCTTTTATTTCTTTTTCTTGCCTGATTGCTCTGGTTAGGACTTCCAATACTACGTTAAATAAGAGTGGTGAAAGTGGGTATCATTGTCTGGTTCCTGTTCTTAGAGGGATAGCTTTCAGTTTTTCACCATTGAGGATGATACTAGCTGTGAATTTGTCATGTATGGCATTTATAATGTTGAGGTATTTTCCTTCTATACCTATTTTATTCAGAGTTTTTGTCATAAATGCATGCTGTATCTTGTCAAATGCTTTCTCTGCATCTGTTGAGATGATCATGTGATTTTTATTCCTCATTTTATTAATGTGCTGTATTACATTGATTGACTTGCGGATGTTGAACCATCCCTGCATCCCTGGAATAAATCTCACCTGATCATGGTGTATGATCTTTTTAATGTATTGTTGTATTCAATTTGCTAGTATTCCATTGAGGATTTTTGCATCGATGTTCATCAGTGATTTTGGCCTATAATTTTCTTTTTTTGTGTTGCCCTTGTCTGGCTTTGGTATCAGGGTAATGTTGGCTTTGTAGAATGAGTTAGGAAGCTTCCCCTCCTCTTCAATTTTTTGGAAGAGTTTGAGAAGGAGAGGTATTGTCTTCTTTGAATGTTTGGTAGAATTCACCAGGGAAGCTGTCTGGTCCTGGACTTTTATTTTTGGAGAGGTTTTTGATTACTGTTTCGATCTCCTTACTGGTGATTGGTCTATTCAAATTCTCTATTTCTTTTTGGTTCAGTTTTGGAAAGTTGTATGATTCTAAAAATTTATCCATTTGTTCTAGTTTATCCAATTTGTTGGCATATAGTTTTTTGTAGCATTCTCTTATAATCTCTTGTGTTTCTGAGGTGTCCATTGTAATTTCTCCTCTTTAATTTCTGATTTTATTTATTTGAGCCTTCTCTTTTTCTTGGTGATTCTAGCTAAAGGTTTGTAAATTTTGTTTATCTTTTCAAAGAACCACTGCTTGGTTTTATTAATTTTTTTGTTCTATTGTTTTTTTAGTCTCTATTTCATTTATTTCTGGTCTGATTTTTATTATTTCCCTCCTTCTACTGATTTGGGGCTTTGTTTGTTCTTCTTTTTCCAGTTCCTTTAGGTGCATTGTTAGATTGTTTATTTGAGATTTTTCTTGTTTGTTGAGATGGGCCTGAATTGCTATAAACTTCCCTCTTAGAACTGCTTTTGCTGTATCCCATAAGTTCTGGAATGTCGTATTTTCATTTTCATTTGTCTCCAGGTATTTTTTGATTTCTCCTTTGATTTCTTCACTGACTCAGTCGTTGTTCAGTAGCATTTTATTTACTCTCCACATATATGTGCTTTTCTGGTTTTCCTCCTATAGTTGATTTCTGGTTTCATACCGTTGTGGTCAGAAAAGATGCTTGGTATTATTTCAATCTTCTTAAATTTATGGAGACTTGTTTTGTGGCCTAATATGTGACTAATCCTGGAGAAAGTGCCATGTGAATTTGAAAAGAATGTGTGTTTTTTGGGTTTTGGATGGAATGCTCTCTATATATCTACTAGGTCCATCTGTTCTAGTGTGTCATTTAAGGCCATGTTTCCTTACTGATGTTCTGTTTGGATGATCTATCCACTGGAGTAAGTGAAGTGTTAAAATCTCCTATTATTATTCTGTTACTGTCTATTTCTCCTTTTAAGTATGTTAATAGTTGTTTTACATATTTAGGTGCTCCTACGTTGGGTGCATAGATAGATGTGAGGTCTTAAAGGCAGAAAAAAAGAAAGGAAAGGAAGGAAGGAGAGAAAGAAGAAAGATAAGGAGGAAGGGGGGAAAAACTGTGGTCTCAAATATTTTTAGAAATATTGCATGATGAATAAAGTAGGTCACTAAAACACTAAAAATGTTTTACAACATATATTTTCATTCGTATAATGAGAAATGAGAACAAAAACTGAGCTGGTGCTAATGCTTCATAAATCCTTGTAGTATAAAAACGTATGGAAAAGAGAAATAGTAAAAGTAAGACAAAAATCTTTAAAAAGTCTAATTTTGATGAATCATATTTTAAGGACTGAATATTTGATAAACATTTCCTAACATAATGCTGTTAAAGAGGAAAGGAAAATTGAAAAAGAAGACTGAAAATCCCTTGAATCACCAAGGAAAGTAAAGTAGGAAGATAGACATGCAATATGGCATAATTGTAGGAGAGACCTGAAACAGGTCTATCTTATATGAAATTTTGAAATTAGATAAATACAGGTTTTTCAAGGAATGTCACACTAGATTATAGATAAACTTTTTTCAAGCCAAATCTCCTTCAGAAAAAAAGGATTTAGGTGAATTTGGAGCATCTCCCAAATCTGGGAGAGGTCTGCAGAGGGCCTTGCCCAGGTGGGAACAGAGACACCATGAGATGGGAGAGGTGCAAAAAGGGAAGGAGCAGGCCACCAGAGCAAGTCTATTCTTTGAGATTCCTTGAAAATTTCCTAGGATTCCAGAGTTTGAAGAAGGAACCACTGACCCCTTACAGGCCATATTTTGCCTGAGCATAGTTAGAGGAATTCCTTCTTCCCTTAAACTCCTTCTGTGTTCACTGGTACAGTGGATCCCTCAGGCCCCCTGAGGGCACCAGTACATGTCTGGACCTGGGTTTCCAATTGTTGTCCTCCCAAGGGTGTCCATCTTCCTTGCTCTTCTAACCCTTATTGAAGTCTCCCTTCTCCCTTCCTAAATTTCCCGTTATTCCTCCCATTCTCCCCTCTATCCTATCTTCTCTCACATGGTCTTACCTTATATAATCTCCTTTTGTTTTTTAGGGTGTTTTTCGCCTGAAGAGGGTCATGTTTACATGATTATCTAGTACACTAGTTAGGTTTCTGCTGGCCTCAGCCCCATGATTGTCCTAAGTACTTGGCTTTATATTAACTGGCCCGCAGAGGGCACTTCCCAGATTCTCATGCTGGTGGCTTCTGGTTAGGTTCAGCTAACGGGAAGTGTGAGCAGAAACTAAAAGCGGCAGCTAATTTGATTCTGGTGGAGGCAAGGCAGTATCCCTTTAGCAGTCCCAGCATCAGCTGCAATTTTCCTGTTGACGACCTGCCATCTGACCTCAGAACCTCCTCAGCCGTCCCAGCAATGGTGCCCTCAGTGACAGACACAGCAGGTCTGATGGCCACCCTAGAAGCAGTGGATTCTCTCCCCTTTGCCACCAGGTGAAGGTTCCAGGAAAGGCACAGAGTATGGAAATTGTCTGTGAGTCTGGCATTGCCCTGATAAGATACTCCCTCTCCCAGCAATTCTTAGCTCCTTCTATCTTTTCTATAAGTTCCTCTCCAGTCCAAACTCACACCAACCCTCCTCTCAACTCCAAGTCTGAAGTTTATGTCTCTTTATTATCAGTGGCCTTGTCTCTTTTATTTCTAGCCAATCTTCCCCTCTAAATCTCAGATCCTGGTAAGAATTCAAGTTCTAGACAATTTTCTCAGTGCTAGTATCAATGGGAATGTTTCATAAATAAAAGGGAGAATAGATCTGTACCAACTTATTTCAATCTCCTGGATTGAAGTAATTATCTGATCCATTGCTTTGTTCGTGAACAAATTAAATATGAACCAAAGTAAGCAAGTAGCTCTTGACTTTTCTCAAGCATTTCAAAGGAAACAGGTTCTTATAAGATATTTTCTCATATCTGTTATGCACTAAGAAAACTTTCCCCAAGTCTATCATTCATCCATCTGATGAAATTCTTCCCCATTTCCCAGTCATCCGCTACCTGTTCTCTGCTATCGGAGATGTTGTAAACCCTTTTGCAACATTCTTCTCAGAGCTGCTTTTACTTCCTTGCTCTTCAAGCTGTAGACAAGGGGATTCACTAGGGGAGTGACCGCACTGTACTGCATGGAAAAAACCAACTCCAGTGGGGAACTCAGGGTTGGCACGAGATAGCGAAGAAAAGCAGATCCATAGAAGCAGCTCACTGCAGTGAGGTGGGAGGAGCAGGTGGAGAAGGCCTTGCTTCTGCCTGTGGTGGAGCTGATGCTCAGGACGGTGGAGGCAATGCGGGCACATGAGAAGAAGACCAGGAGTAAGTTTCCAGAGGCATGCACAATGGCAGAACACACCAGAACTGCAAAGTTGGTAGAGATATCAGAGCAAGAAAGAGAGAATAGAGATGGCAGCTCACAGCTGAAGTGAGGCAGGACACGAGCCTCGCAGAAGTCCAAATTCCAAGCCAGGAGGGTGTTAATGAGAGCATCCAGAAAGCCCAGTCCCCAGGAGACCCATACCAGACCCCCACACAAATGTTTGCTCATCGCTTGGCCATACAGCAGTGGGTAGCAGATGGCATTGTACCAGTCACAGGCCATGGCTGAGAGCACAAAGGCTTCAGTCCCTGCAATGGAAATACAAAGAAAGCTTGAGAGAGGCAGCCTTCTACTGAGATTGATTTCTTCTGAGACAGGAGATTCTCCAGCATCTTGAGTGCAGTGACTGAAGTTAAACAAAGATCCAGGAAAGAGAAGTGACTGAGGAAGAAGTACATGGGTGAGCAGAGGTGAGAATCAGTTCTGATCACCATCATCATCATCAGATTCCCCATCATGGTCTGGAGGTAAATCCCAAGGAACAGCACAAAGAGCGTGACCTGGATGTGGGGGTTGGCAGACAGTCCAAGGAGGATGAATTCCGTGGTGGTGCTGTGGTTTCCTAAGACCATGATAGAAGATGTCCAACTAGGATGAAAGAAAGAAAGAAGTGTGAACTATTTACCTACTCTTCATGCTAACTCAGAATTTCTATTCCATTCCGTGTATAGATATATCTCTCTTCACCCTGCATATCTTACATGGATCTTATAAGCCTTTTACATGGATTTTTTTTTTTGGGGGGCGGTGAGGAGGATTGGCCCTGAGCTAACATCTGTTGTCAATATTCCTCTTTTTGCTTGAGGAAGATGGTCCCTGAGGTAAAATCTGTGCCAATCTTCCTCTACTTTGCATATGGGATGCCGCCACAGCATGGCTTGACGAGCAGTGTGTACTTTCGCACCCGGGATCCGAACCTGCAAACCCCGGGCCACTGAAGTGGAGCATGTGAACTCAACCACTACACCACCAGGCTGGCCCCTGGATTTTTTTAATCTACTCTCCCTTCCTTCTCAGAAGTCTTCCCTCGTTTGATTGCCAACTGTACGACATGTGAACCCCGAATCAGCCCATCTGTGCTGTTTCCCCCTTTGGATCTTCTACCACAAATAGCTCTGGAGAACTTTATTTAATTTTTTAGACTAGTCCATGACTAATTGATTTCTTCTCCTGGAATTGGTCCTTACTTTTACCCTGCAACACTACTGGTCAGAATATATCTAATACACCTCCTGGAGAAGTGAGTCTAATCGTCTTTGGTTTTCTGAGTCACATAGTCTATTACTCGCCATTCAGAAGCTTGTAATAGTCCAATGTTACTCAATAACAACATGCTATATTTATTATATTTTTACTCTTCCTGTGTCTCTAAGATAATTGGTTATTTGATTTAAAGGATAATTTTGAACCATATGTGTGTGCTGGGAAATCGGGATAAAGAAGGATATTGCTAATTTATATTTTTAACAGTTAAAAATACGCCAAGATACAGATTGATAAAACTTGTTCAGTTCCTCAATTTGAACAGCCAGGAATTGTATCCACTCTGTATAAGCCTACAACTGGAACTTTTTATACAGTGCTGTTTTTGCAGTCCTTCCTGAATAAAAATGAACCTCTCTGGGTGACATTTAAGGATTAGCCAAACTTTGTAGTAACTTCTCTACCTGTAGAGATTCTGTTTTACTTGGACTCCTTTAGGTCCTGGTGATGGGTATTTACAAAGTTCCCCATGTGGTTCTGATGTACCTCCAGGCTGCAGGATCAGAGCATCAACTGGTCAGACCAGACATGCCTGTTGCCCTCATACTCTTCTATTCTTTGCCTTGACTTTAGCTGATACTCTGTTGAAATATTTTCCCTTCAACCTTTGTCCCAAATCCTGCTTACCCTTCAATCTTCACTGTAATTTCTACCTCCTCGTTATACATCTGTCTTGATTACTTCCTTCTCTGCCTGCACAGATTATGGAAAATTATGACACCTATAATTTTTTTTTTTGGTGTCAGTTTTGTCTAGGTATTATCAAGTATTTAGCTTTTCCTCTATTTGATGATCACAACAAAACTATGGGGGCTGCATTATCTCAAATTTTAGAATGAGGAAATTGAACCTGACAATGTTGCGGTGACCTGCTAGTGTTGAGAGAGTCAGTGAATGGATAAGCTTTACATCCATCCCACGTCTATGAAGCTACAATATCTGTGATTTTTACACCCTGACCAGCTGACATCCATTTTCTTAAGCATGTCTGCTTCTCTCTACTCTATGTTCTCTTTTACGCCTTACTCTCTAAACTGTTTTGGGCCTGCACATGGATATCTAGTTTGCTCTTGTTTTCAGGAGGATGTGTGAGTAGTATCTCTTTTTTCTCCAAATATGTGGCTTGTTTATGGAGAGTAGATTTGGTATTCAATCATCTATATTATCTTAAATCCTGAACATACAGCAGAATGAGAGGCATATGATGGATCTTCAATATTTGTTGAATGTAGAAAGAATGAAGCAAATAGGATATATTATGTGTGCTTTGTTTGAGGAATATCCCCAGCTTCAATTCTAGTTTCAGAAATAAACAAAACTTGAGGATGACTGGGAAGTGATAGAGAAAGGAAAGGCTATGTGGGACTGTGGGGCTCATTTTGTAGTGGTTGTGAAGGGCTGGCGGAAGACTTATCTTCTCTTGTACTAATTGACACCTAAAGATTCCTGCCTCCCAGGGAGCACCTACTAGCTCATTTTAGTTCACACGTGGAGGGTTGCTTAATCATGGCACTTATTCATCTATCCATTGGATAATTTATCAATCAGTTATCCATTTATTTAGTCATCTAATATTTCATTTATCCACTCCATTATCCATCCTGTCAATTCAGTCATCTCTGCATCTGTCTCCATTCATCATTTATCCATTACTTCATCAATTTTGTCATTTATCTAATTATTTAAAGTATTATGGATTTACTCTGTGCAAAGCCCCATACTTACAATAGACTGGGCAAACAACCTTCCTTAACCTTTGTTGAACCATTGTGTGAATACACTTATCTTTTTTCAGTCATACTTTTCCAGCACCCAGGGCTGAATTCTCATACTGGTTAGTTTTTTTCATACCCAACTTGAAATCTCAGACTCTATTCCTTCAGACTCTGAGTCCTTTTTCCTGGTATGGTAACTCCTTACAGTATCCTTGATTTATAAACAAGAACTCCGAATCAAATCCGAATTCCCCAGCTTTCACCTGCGGAATTTCACCAGTCTCACATTGTTCTTGCCCAAAGAACTCACCGTAACAGATTCTATTCCTGCTGGGCCAGCCAATGCCCTGCTTTTCCCAACTTTCCTTTCTTTTCCTATTTTTTATTTAGACAAGTTCCCATTCTCCCACCCCTAATTAGAACCCGTATTCAAGTTATCTCTCGGTTCTGTCTGGTGAGTAATTTGCAGCCCAGGGTGGTAGCCCAAATTAATTCAGATTCTGCAGTGAAAATGGAAAACTCAATTTTTCCTGTCTCTGAGTTTGTAAAATCTTATTGAAATAAACAATTTCTCTGTATTTGTCAGCAGGAAAGCAAACAGTCAATTCGGTCCATTCACTTTAACTAGAAAATGTCTCACAATTTGTAATTTACTGTCTGATTTTGGCCATACATTTGCTCCAATTTTTCCATATTTACTCTCAGTGTAGACCTGGCTACAATCTCATTTTTGTTTCCAGCACTCAGCCTGAGAAAACTCCAGCGTATCCAAAGGATTTTGAAGAAATTGTGAGTTAGAGACCAATATATGAAAAATTCTATCCTATGCTAATGGTCCACACAACCCATCAGGAAGGCAAGTGGAAGCCCAAGTCATGAGATTCCACAGTCTGCTAACCCTGGCCCCCAATACAGATCCTCTGACTGGAGACAAGTGAAGAGAGGGCTTCATTTCAACCTTGCAGTGAAAGGTAAGCATTAATTTCAAATTCTCTTCACTTACCTTGTGAGAGAACACAGCGGCTTCAACTCATGTTGAAGTTGAATGTCTATTTTGAAATTCAGAAAACAGTGAAGAGAGAGAAGTTTGAGTGCTTACATAGTGAAGTGGGGAAGAAAGTGGAACCCAGGGTGATCCTCTTAACAAGACCTGTAATTTACCACTTTGCCTGGGTAGCTGTGTTGAGCACTTCTCAAATAGGTCGCCTCTTGGTATCCTATATATGTTTTTGTCAGATATCTTCTTAAGAGAAGGGGAGCAAGATATTGCATTTTTGGGGTCATTTAAGAGTAGTCACAGGTAGTTGTCACTTTCCTTCCTATGATTTTTGGCTGAAGTTTACACTACTGTGAATTCATTTTACTTAAATTAATATTTGCCTAAATTTAAAATTCAATAAATTCTGAAAGGCAAAGAACATCAATGCCATTATAAATTATTAACTCATTTAGATCCAACGATCTTATATCATTTCCAAGAAGGCATTCTAAGAAAAGAGTCTCAAAATTTATCTACTCAGTGTAATCACAGAGAAAATATTAGTTAATTACATTAATGACTGGATAGATAGATTAGTGAAGATAGGATGAGAGATAGGTCTAGTGCTGGAAGGCAGAAATGGTATGGGTAGCTATTATTGGAAATATAAGAAACTCAGAATAGTATAAAGACCTCACATATCCTGAGGGCACCTGAAATGGGGAGATGGCCCGCAACACATGTGCTTTGTGTGCATGGCAGACAGACTTCACATACCTCAACATATTCCTTAGAATCTTCTCTGGATCCTGCTCTTCCTCTTCTCCTTTAACCACTAATGTTGTTCATGACCAGAGTTGATAGGGTGGTTAATGACAGCAAAAAAGGAAACTATTTTTAGCACATGCATGTAGGAGCTAAGAGAAGGAGGAGGATGGCAGACCACTAAAGTCTATTTACTATGATGTGCTTTTCCCCACTCCTCCCCAGACTGGGGCCCTCTTAGCTCTTGGTTTCAGCTCCCCAGATCAATGCAGAGTCCATAGCCAGGGTGCATTCAACACTAAAGAGCATAGAGAGGATTTGTTTAGTAGATGCTAGGAACAACTTTGGACAAGAGCCTAAAAGGAGAGAACTAGAACTCAGTCTGCAGCACAAGGAAAAGATGATGAGAGAACTCAATGTAAAAGGAATTGCCTGAGACAGCCGGGCACAGAGGCTAGACAAGGAAAAGAAAACAGAAACTGGAAGTCTCCAGGTCGGAACGAGGGGAACCTTTAGAGAAATCATAAGTCTGACTTTTTCTGGCACAAAAGTCATCTTTTGGCTCTAGTCTTACCATGGTATATGAAGTCATCTTTGGTCAGGTGATCACTATGCACAGGAGAATCAATATTTCTATAGCCTATTTTCAGAAAGTGTACGTGTTAAGTTTTTCTATTTATGAGTCTCAGTGAGGGAAGTAACTCAGACCATTCCAGATGGAGAAGCTTAAGGACAGAGCATCTGAAATCTTCTTGGTGCTGCCACTCTCACTCACTAAATACAATGGGAAACATTCAAGTTCTGGGAGGAGCATGTGAGAGACTTCTCTTATGTCATCCCAAACCCAATC